CCCCAAAACCCCAAAACCCCAAAACCCCAAAACCCCAAAACCCCTTTTTCATTTTCCGCTCAAGTTATAAAATATTCTCTAAATTTCTGATGGAGTCTCCACCTTACGACAACGAAGAGAGAAGATTAAATAGAGTAAGTATTATATTAGTTTGGTTCTTTTATAAACATCGCAAGGCTATTCTGAATAATACTTTATTAGACAATTGACACTTCTTTTAAGGTGAATTTGGAGATAGTCATCCTAAGATAGCTAAAACATTTATATAGGAGAAGGGAGTTTACTATTATGCTGGGATAGTCATTGCTTACCATTTTATTATTGGCTGCCTCCTTTTTATGTGCTATGGAGCAGATGTTAATGAGAAACACGTTGGAATTCATGCTAAATTTTTGGTGCTCTTCACTGCTTGTATCAGAATTGCAGCCTTTGTCCCATTTCTCTTATTGATGTTATGCCTAATAAATCGAAGATGCATATCGCCTAATCAGTACCAACCCGCTTACTACTTCTTGCTTTTCCTGTATCTGCCCTGGGCGGTGTATTTGGTCATTAGATTTTTTGCAGATGATAATCACACCAAAAATGAAGCTGGATTTTTGTATGCAGCACTGCTTTTCCTAATGATTGAGGGAATGATACTTATATTCTTTGCTGTTTTATCCCTCCTTATTATTTTATTGATTTGAATTCTTGTGTGTTATGTACGCAGAAGACAAGCAGAAATTGAAAATCAACAGGCTGAGAGAAATGAAAGAGTAGCTAATTTTATTAATAAAATTGATATATTTAATGTGACTGGAAAAAGATTTGAGGATCATGATCTCTGTTGAATATGCTTTGAAAATTATTCTGAGGAACATGGAACAGTTATCCAGCTTCCATGTTCTGGCCCTCATTATTTTCATAAAGAATGTATTATTCAATGGATAAGAGAAAAGAATTTTTGCCCAATTTGCAAAACCGAAATCACTATTGACGATCTTAACAATGCTATTGATGAAAGACAACAAGAGTCACAAGACTATGGTACAATAGAAAGAGAGGCTCAAATTGAATCTGAAGAAAGGAAAGAGCTATCTCCATCCCCTCCCGAAGGTGGCCAAACCACATGGCGCGACCCCTAAACCCGACCAAGAAATGCCCATACCAATAATTTCAATTCCAAACATTAAAAACGGGGTTTTGGGGTTTTGGGGTTTTGGGGTTTTGGGG